ATTACTGTCACCAAGAAAAGATCACTATTTTACTAGTTATAGCAATCAGGAATGTCATCACTGTCACCAAGAAAGGATCACTATTTTACTACTTATAATACCTATGAATAGCACACCGTCTCATTACAACAATAACTGGTTTAATCAATTCGTATTCCGATAATTATAACAATTGCAAAAATGATAAAAGCATGAAGTGACCTGTGACCTGATCCTATTCCCATCCTCAATCCATCAATCACCTATGATAGTGGTAAATGAATGTGGAATGGCTCTGTCTAGTTCTGAATAAGACTGGCGCGGAGAGGAGTTGAATCTTTGACCTTTTGATGCAATAACAGTGACCTTCCTTGACCACTATATCTGTTTTGTATACTACAAAGGAATTTCGAAAACTTTGGTCTCATTTTCTTAAACTCAAACTAACGATTGCTAAATGATGAAACAATTTAAGCACTAAAAGCAATTAATTTTGAAACTAAACTATTGAACGCTTTAAAATTGGACGAAAATTTACCTTCATCTAGACAAAAATGGTTAATCTAAAAAAGTAATCCAAGAAATTTTGTCATCCATTATCTATGCTATCAGATAGCATTAATCTCTTTTCTTTTTATCATCATATTTTCTTTCTTTATTCTTGGTGACAAATTAAAATGGCAAGGTTGGAATGCAAATGATTACACTTTAATTTCATCACAAATAAAATTAACAAATAAATATTACAAATGATTATTGATAAATGATTATTATAAATGACTATTATGCTTATCATAATATCACAAAAAATTTTTATTTTTCTACATCTAAGCTAATGCTTAAATAAATATTGGAATTATTTGTGAAAATAATTAAAAGGAAGAAGGGAATAATAATTGATATGCAAATAAGAATTAAATGATTTAATGAATCAAATAAAGGAAAGAGAGAAAAGGATGAATAAATTATGCTTCACTAAATTGTTAAGTAAAGTTTGATTAAAATGATAATAAGATAAGAAAATGATAACTAAACAACAACTTCAAATATTTGTTGAGTTTTAGCCGGAAAAGAGAAGAAATAAGGGGAAAGCATTTCTTTTTTTGTTTTTGTAATGATAAAAAATTTATTTGAAAGGTATTGAAATAACAAAATGTCAGGTAAATTAGTAAAAATAACATACAAATAAATCCAATAAGTTAAACAAAATTAATTAATAATCGTAAATTATTAAGAAATGATTTGAATGCAAAACTAAATCAAAAATATACACTAATACCATTTTATTTCGTTTGAAGTGAAAAAATTTTGCATTTTGATAGGAAATTATTGATAAAAAAAAATTAGATAAATTGTTTATCAGATGATTCAACTGATATGATTCTCTTCAATGCTTCTCAACTGATAAATATGATAAACTACTGATCAAGCAACTAGAATAACAAAATTACTCAACAAATGAATCGATAAATAATTAATCAAAAAATTATAATTTCCTAATTTCTTATTCAACTTATCATATAAATTATCCCATCATTATATAATTTAAAAAGAATAAATTATAATAATTATTCAGCAAAATATTAATATGGAATAAATGAATTAATTAATTAAATAATGAATTTATCGATTACTTAAAATGTTTTTAATTTGAATGGATGAAATTATAAAAAAGAGATTTCTTGCAATGAATAGAAATAGTCAAAAAAAGAAAAAAATTTTAAATATTTAGAAATTATTTATTTGAATGAATGAAAATGAATGTGACCTTTTCTTCGAATTGTTATTTTTTTTTTAACAAAAGAAATACAACAATTAAAAAAAAAAAAACAAATGAAAGATAAAGACAAAATTGGGCAAATTCGAGCAATTATCTAACGATTGTAATAACGATGACAAAACCGATGACGATAACGACGATGACAACGACGATGACAACGACAACGACAACGACAACGACCTCGATAGCAATTGATAGGATGGTTGTTGAGATGAGATGGAAGGAGGGAAAGAGCCATAAAATTGGTAATAATTTTAGTCCTTTCCTTTCCTCATCATCCATTCCATCTTCATACTCTCTCTCTAAATACTTTTTCAATCCAACAAATCTTTCTTTCATTTTCTTCAATCAGTTTAGTTTTATGAGTTACAATTTAATTTGTCTTCACTCAAATTTTTACCAATAAACTTATGTTGCCAATAATTTCAATTCGTTTATGATTCCATTGCAATGAACTTTTCCATTTCCTTTTTCTTCTTCTTTTTTCTTTAAATCTCTTTGAATTCTTTAAATGAATCCAATCATTTTTATAAATTGTAAATTTTGAAAGGAATAATTTAAGGGAAATTGTGAAATTTTTCTATTTTCAATTATTTGAAATTGAAATTACGCAACAATTTAATGAAAACTACATTCTCATTTATGTATTTTATGAAAATTTATAACAAAAAAACTTCATGTCCACACATGCCATTACTAAGCGTTTTTTTTTTGTTTTAATTAATTTAGTCTCATTGCTTTATCAATTAATTAACTTCATGTGAACGAAAAATTCCATGCCCACACATATCATTCATTACCAAACGTTTTTTTGTCTTAATTAATTTAGTCTCACTGCTTTGTTAATTAATTGACATCATGCGCTCTTTTATCTATCACTAATTAGACTTATCCTGTAAAGTAAATGAACTTTTTTCCTTTTGCTTTTATGATTATTATTATTAAAGTAAATATAGTTGGATTTTTTTTTGACAATATTAAAAACATACAAAAAAGCCTACTGTAAAAATTACAAAAATGAAAGTTACATTTAGCAAAAGCTTAATTAATGAGTAAAGATTATTACTTAGCTAGTTAACTTAGCTATATGTTACTTAAAACAAATAATAAAATACAGTAAATACTTTGATAAGAAGTTAGTTTGAACAAAAAAAAAAGTTAAAAAATCTTAAATACAAGACAACTTCATTACAAAAAGTCTCATTATAACCTTTTTTGTTTCACTTCTTTTTTTTTTCTGAAATTATTTCATCAACAAATCTTTCATTGCTTACAACATAAATATAAATTGAAAATAAAGTAATAAAAAAGATATTAGAATAAATAACAATTTGTTATGAGTAATATTCATTTTATTCAGTTTGAAATTAAATTTTTAAATTATTTAAATCTTCAATACATTAAAAGAAACCGATTGCATACAGCTAATTTACTGTTAAATTTTCGAGAACTCAGTAAAATCATTCATTGTTACCATTTTTTCAAGAACTGAAAATCCAGAAATTCCTCCTCCTTCTTCTTTTTCTTTTCTTTTTTTCTATTTATTAATGATATATTCTTAACAATAATCAATAAATGTTTTATTCAATAACAATACTTAAATTTGTTATCTCAAAATTCGATTGATAATTTCAGGTGAAAAGTCATTTCATTCATTCTTATTCATTTAATCATTTCCAAGCTATTAAAATTCATTCCTAACATACACACACTCAATAGGTGTGTGAAATTATACGTAAATACTTAACCAATTAAGTAAATAGCAATAAATTTTTGATGATGGAATATTTTGTTAATTAAAATTCGAATTTTATAATTAATTGATTTAATTGTAATATGTAAAATCATATTTGAAATGAAAAAAATTTGAAGTTTTAAATATTTTGAAATTTTCATTTTTTTTTCAAACTTACTATGCAATTCTTTATCAAAAAAATACAATATTAATTTAATTTCACACTACTTTTAAACTATATAGACGAAAAGCCTCAGAATATATCATTTCTTTTTTATCTACTGATAATTGATTGCAGTTATGATATTGTTAATTAGTAATAGGTTTCACTACTACTACGACATATATTGATCTATCATATCATTCCTGAAATATCATAATATAGGATTATTCGTTAACAGTGTAATACCGAGATATTCCAATGTATTTGAGTGTTTTAAATTAAACTGATAAGCTACTCATCATTAATCAATCAAAAGTTTTTTCATTTTTGATTAAAATTTTATGATTTCTTTTGCTATAACATATCATATATATATATATATTATTTTTTTAGTATTTTTTTATGGATAGTGATATTTAAGTAAATCTTAACCTGAAATTATTTGATAAGAAAATTTGAAGTAATCAATAAAAGCTAAAATTACATAATGATCAATTCATCATCTTATCATTTCCATTTTATTCATCTATTGTTCTTAACACTAATATTGACACCAATAATTGTAAACAACAAACAATCCGATCGATCATAAATATTTTTCAAATCTTTTTTATTTTGTTTGTTTAAATTTTATCGATTATTTCGGATAATTCTTTTTATCCTCATATCATTGTATTCATTTATTTAATGATACACCCATTTATGAACCAGTTTATCACATCTAATTCTCTTTTATTCCCTCCATTTTGTTAATTTTCTTTTGTCACGACATAAAATGTGACATTTATATTCCTCTTCTTGCTACGTGCCTAAATTTTTTTTCTTTTTCTGCTCTTTAAACGATAATAATACTATATAATATAATATTATACCAAAGGTACGAAATCAACCAATCACGTAATATTTTGTATAATTTTTGAAACATGACGTAAACATACTTGACGTAACATATTGACTTGCGTGATATTTCCACGCATAACTTTATCAAATATATAATTAAACCTTATATAATTAAGCAACTTTTTTTAATGCTTAAATCTAAATTGGAAATAATTTTCATCATTCTATGATAATTGTATTTCATAAATAATTTTCACTTTAATAGCATTCCACATAAATACTAAGCAGACAATTGCGCCTAACTTATATTCAATCAGTTATACACATAATATATGCTGTACTTTTAATACTTTTTAACTATCCCTTTTAATATTATCATGTTTAAATTATTTCTTGACAATTATCCATTATTAAAATATAAATATAAGCAAAGAAAAAAAAACGAACAAATATTTTTATAATTAAATATGTCTTCTTTTCATTATTAAAAAAAAAAAAAAGTGAAAGAAAAAGCTAGAATAAATTATTTAATGAACTTTAATTCTGTCACCAATTTTCAATGTCCATTTGCGCTTCAATTCATTTATTCCTCATAAAACTACGAGCAATTTTCTCCTTTTTTTTTTTTAATTTTTATGACAGATTAAATTAACGTTTCACGATAAATTTTATAAATTAAATTTTTTTTTTGATTTGAATTTTTGTCATTTTCTTCCTCTCTAACAAATTGCTATTATTTTGCTATTTTTAAAAATATTCAAAATTGCATGAAATTTTTTTTTTCTTTTAAACGAATAAATGTGTATAAAACCAGTTCATTGAAATCACCTCCAATAGATTTAATTATATGTACATACGTTCACATACACAACATACACACATACATGCATGCATGAAGTGAAGTTTAGTTGACCCGCGTACACATACACACATAGATAAACATAAATACACATACACACACACATATACGCATACATACAATATATACACACACATACATATACATACATGTATTACATTAAGTGAAGTTTTTAATTGACACGCTAGCGACTGTCACATATTACTGTTGACTGGTTTTTGGATGTTGTTGATTATTTAATTTGAATTTATCATTAAATTTCTTTACTTTTCTATTAAAAAGTGAACAATTATCAGTATGGTTTTGCCTGTTACATTGCATTTATCATTACACAGACATACACACATATACATATATACACACACATACACACATACATATACATACACACACACACATACACACATGCATATTTCATTTCGTTATCTGTTCATCTCTTTCGTTTTTTCCTCTTTTTCTTGGTTGAAAAATTTTCATACCTGCATTAATCATTCCGGTTCCGGTTATCGGGATTAACCAGAACCAGAAAAAATGCTTATAAATTTTCTCCTGCAGAAAAGTTTTTGAGATATTTCATAAAGCTATCTGTCATAGCCATTCTATCTAATCTCATCCAATGTAATCAGATGAATTGGTAATATCCAGAAATAGTCTTTCTCTTCTCTTTTTTTTTTCTCCCCTTTCCCTCAGGGAATTCTCAGTATCAATTTCATAGATAATATCAGATTTTTTCATCACTTGAAATTTTTATAAATTTTTAAAAATTATCTTTTGACACTATCCATTCATTCTTATAAATGTTCACCTTTAATTATATAATTATTACACAGGTAATTAGTCCAAAGTGAATCAAATTTTTGAATAAATAAGCTTTTTTGATTCCTTTAATTTCTTTAAATTTAATGCAAAAAGAAAAAAAAAATTTACCAATCTTTGCAAAGGCAACAACTTTCATCAGTTTTTTTTTTTTTTTTTCTGATATTAATAATGTCGGCAAAAATGAAATAAAACACGAATTAAAAAATTTTATTTAAAAGCAAGTTTTTATCACACAAATTGCTATTATTCAGAAAATTTTTCATTAATTATTTCATGAATTTTGTTGATAGAAATAGCACAAACTTTGCAATTATTAATTAATTTATTGATATTATTCATTCTGAAATTTTTTTTTGTCATTTTTTCACATTTAAATAATTTTAATTAATATGACGTCATATTTTCATTGTAAAGCTTTTGACATCATTTAGTTCTTTCATAAAAAAAAAAAAAAGAAGAAAAGCTATGATTTATTGGTTTCTAAATTTTCCATTCTCTTTCTAAACTGAAACTAAAACTAACAATAACATGCTAAATTTATACAGGTCATATGTTTTGAATTTAAATAATTAGGTCATCATCATCGCTTCACTTCATCATTATTTCCATTACAATGTATGACTGAACGTTCGAATGTGTGTTGGGAGTATATTATTGATAATGATGATGATGATGATGATGATGATGATGATGTTGATGTTGTTGATAATGTTATCATAGATGCTTATATTGTTTATTTTATTCGATGAAAACCGATCGTTCAATCTAAATTTGTCACAAGACATGCTATTTAACTATTTTGAAAGCTGCAAGTTGATTTTGTCATCTCTATGTTTACCCATTTTACCATTTTAGTATATGTGTAAACAAACCTCTATAAATGTTAAATCAACCGTTTCTCTATCGTTACATTTTACAGAGTTGCAAATAAAAATGATAAACTAAAATTTAATTATTTATAAATGTTTTAATTAATAATGCATCTCTTACAATAATTATTTCCGCTTTTCACTCTTATTGTTTCACTTTTTTTCTAAGAGAAAAAACGAAAACATAATATGTTATATGATATGGTGACATTAATGTCAACTATCACCAAACAT